CGATGCGGAGTTCGATGGTTGAACCCTCGACAGGTCCACTCGCCTCGACAGGTCCACTGGTCGACGTCATGAGGTCGTTTTTGACGTCATGGATCGTTTGCTCCATCGAATGTCCCTGAAAAAAGGACACAGAATGGATATGCACTGTCGGCTTAGTTCATGTGTGTTGCATTTCCAGTTAAAAACTCTGTCCAAAGCTGTCATAGACAGGACCCTGTTAAAGGTGGAATTTCCATCGGCTGAGTTCAGTTCAGCTGCAGCCCGGCCAACGGAACAAAATTAAATCTATGGATATGTTTGTTGCAGAAGAAGCTGTCTCTAGTGCCATCGGATCACCATTCTGACCATCATGCTGTAGCGCTTCCAATCAGAATCTGATTACCCAGCCAGCATACATTCACCAGGTCATGTTGCCGCGATGCTTCATTTGGTTCCAGAGACCAACGTGTTGGGGATTCTGAAAATAACTCAACATCAGAGTGAACCTCCCCATACCCACCATGTATATAGTTGCTCTGATGAATTCACTCCAATGACTGATCCCTGTTGACGCCAAAAGGAGTGATGGTCTATCCGAGTCTATCTCCCCATTTTATTTGGCTTGACCAACAGAGGCAGATGGAAGTGGGCTGACCTCCATGAGCCCACAATGTCTTTACTGCCTGATAGTTTACTTGGATGATGTCCGTGCAAAGCAAAGCGATCAAAGTATGCATCCTGCGAGCCTCCAAGCTACGAGAGTCTACGAGCTATTTGGAGGTCGAATCAGCTCTTGGAAGTGCTTGGCAGCTGCTTTGGTTTTGAGGTGGTAGAAGCAGTAGATTGACAGTGTTGTTTCTTCCCTGCGTTTGGGTGCCATCTCCAATTCCCAGAAAAGATCCGTCAGAAGTAAAAGTAGACAAAAACACGTTTGGACCATGGTGCACCAAACAATAAGTGGGAGACTGGCAGATTTTTGGACCGGATCGGAGGTTTGAACTAAACCAACCATGTCCATGCATACTTTGAACCCAACTGAACCAATCTAGCCCGTCTTGTTGTCAGTGGTGGTCACAGTGTTTGAGAGACAATTGAAAGTATGATCGGAACCTGGTCAAACACGAGCGCTCTTCTGAAGGGCAGTTCCACAAAGGGTCCATTGAAATGTCATGGGCAGCACAACGTATTCATGGAAGGTCGAAGATACATAGTGCGTAAAGACAACATGATATGATTGCCGGGCATGAATTCGCACACCCCATTAAGGTTGTGAATTCTGCAGCGCCACATCCACTTGTTTTCTATAGATTTTGTTGACTGTTGCTTGCAGCAGAGCTGGAGTACAAGAGCTTCGAACCTCTCGATGCTTGTATGTGTCTTATATCGGGCATGGAGCGCCCTCTTCAGGCTGTGATTCTCCATGCTGATGTTGTATACTGCGAGGATTTCCACTCGGATGCTTTGAAACCTCTGGCTTAACCGAATTAGGAACCAAGAAGAGCCACAGCATCAAATGGTATGAAGAAAAGCCAAGTCTTCAGTCCTCAGTTGGTGAAACCAGGGAGTATTATATCTGGTTTTACCATGTTCTACTTTGTTTCGAGCATTTGGTCAAGCGGCGAAGACCAATTTAAGACGACTCGACGTACGCTCATCGACGGACGCTGCGCTCCATGCTTCTTCCCGTCCGACAGCCCGGCAGCCGTCGTTGCGCAAAGCGTCTGAAAAGGCCGCACTCGGCGGAGTGCTCGCCATCAGCGATGGCAGTGGTGGTTTGGACATGTTTGAAATGGGGGGCCTTATGGGCCGCGGTGGGTGTTTGGGCGCTATGGAGTGAAGGATAGTGGAAGGACTTGACCAAAATCTCGGTGGTTTCAATGGTTTTTTTTCTGCGAATGGTCTCACGAATGAACAGTATTAATTGGACATATTTGGACTCTTCATCCTTAGTTCTTGGACTCCATGTCCCCTTATGGAGTGGATCCGTTGTGCAAAACACATTTGGACTTGGGTTCTGCTTTCTGATGCTTCCAAAGAGGCTGAAACTGCAGAGATATGGACTCATGTTACACCTGTTATCTCAAGTATCTCAAGACGGCATTCCTTCTTTTCCAAACGGAATTGTTTGGACCACCAACATAGCTCAAGGAGCACCTCAAGTATCTCTTAATTCTGCATTCCTATAGCAGAATTGTTTGGCCTCGCTATTTCTGGGCTCAAAGCTGACCGTGTGCCAATTTTCCCTCCTGCGCACGATCCCGCCGCTCCAACGAGCCCGGCTCGTCCGCGTTCTTCGCGCCGACCCGTCCGTCGCAGCGCCCCGGAGAGAGTGGCCGGCCACTTCCGACGAGAGAGGCATGGCTGGGGGGTGGGAAAGAGGTCTTTCATTCAGATGGCAGTTCAGATGGCTATCGGATAGAGAAGGATGTGTCCAGCTTTCGGATGTTTTTAAAGTCTACAGAGTCTTACTGTCTACAGTACCTCCTCGGCTCCAACAAGCATGGAAGTGGGACAATCCCCGGCCTTCGGATGCATGGCGCCACGGCCATTCTGATCGGCCATGCATGTCGGACGGTTCACGTGCCACGGAGCGAGTCCGTGGGCGACATGATGACGGACCGATGGATGTGGGGTCTTGGCACCGGGGCACCCTGGGTTGACCAGAGAACATGAACAGCATGGACAAAATAACAAACGAGTCGGAGGTCAACCTACCCTGGGGAAAAGAGATCCGGGTGCCATGATCCAGAGCCATATCCTACTTTGCTTGTGTCATGAATTATTTTTGGAGAGTGACAGTCATATTTTGGTCAAGGATCAGGAGAACGGTGAACCATTGCAAGCTAGCGAATTCTGAGCATGGTGGAAGGATATGGAAGGATGTGCAGAGATAACAGATCCTTGCAAAGCATTGCAAGCTCGAAGAAACTAAGATTCTATAAACAGTTGTGCTATCCAACAAACCTAGTTATATATTAGTGATTCGTGCTCATGTCTTTTCCCATCCCCAAGTACCAAGCTAGATCGTGGAAACCATCGCAAAACCCGAACCCGACACGTGACACTCATCGACCTGACCGTGGGATCCACACGTCGACGAGAGGCCGGAGACCATGCAGGTGAGGGGTCGCTGGGCGCGTTCGCGCGTGATGCGCAAGCCGTTCTTCGACCGCGTTCGCGCTTTTTTCGTGGCGCGGCCGATGGGTGAAAGGTGAGGTCGAAAGAGAATCAAAGAGGTTTGGAGTCCGAGGACGAGTTTGGGTGCTTGTTCATGTCATGAATGAATGACAGGCATATGTTTCAATGAAACGGTTTGAGGGTGGTTTGTTCATGGATGCTTCAAGAGGAGCCACATTGAGACAGAGCTCACATGCTCATACTCAGAGAGGGAAGTCTTCACAAGGATAGACTTGACAAAGGACCACCTGGAAACCCAAACCACCTGAAACACTTGGAAATGTCCCCAGTCCCAACCACTTGCTATGTAAAGGATCTCATTTGCAAGAAGCTATAGTTATTGGAAGAACCATTATCCATGTGTTCTGTTTCTTTGCTCTTTTTTTCAATTTTCAGCAGTGGAAGGAGATTTGGGTTCAAACACTGGGCTCTGGATGCTTGCTTTGGATATCGCCCCTCCGATTGCGCGGCAAGCGTGTGCTTGGACGCTGGTTCGCACCAGTTGGCCCGCGGGGTGAAACACTCCTCCCGCCAGTTGAAGTTCAGCAGATGATCAAAGATGAACAAGTAACAAGACACATCCACCATCATCCACAATATTCCTCCATCATCCACACATCTATCTGGAGGTGGGTGGACACAGTGGACACACATCCACACATCCGGAGGTGGGTGGATGTGGATGTAGTGGGAGTCACATCCGACATCGCCGGTCACCCAACCCAACAACTTCTTCCCTTGCCCCTGTGACTCGAAGGGCTCCATCCGAGATACTCAGGGTCCGGGTGTCTCCCCCCGGCACTGGACCCCACAAACCACCCCCGACCAAGCAACCGAACCCACACCAACAACCCCAACCAAAGCGGTCGATCGGACCAAAGGCTTCGGGAGTGACCACGGCGCCGCTCGTTCCGCGGAACAGCGTTCCGCGTGTGGCGTTCAGGCTCAGAGCCATGTGGATCCAAGGGGGCTCCTGGCACCCAGTGGGACGAAAAAAAGAGCCACCTAAACAGGGTGGGTGGGAAAGCAGTGTGGTGAAAGCAGTGTGCATGCATTTTTGTCGGTGGGTATTAAATGCAGTACTTCTTTGTGGAACAGATGTGGACATCCAGAACTCATTGAATTGGAAGTTAGAGATGAACTCCATGACATGCAAAGATATTTGTTTGTTCGAAGACTGAGAAGATTTAAGAATGTCAGATGGACTCAATGACATGGAAATACAACATGATTAGATTTCCAGATGGCATTTGATTCTATGTCATCAATGTAATAAGACACTAAATACTGGCTGCTTGGCCCTTGTGGGCTGCTTACAAGCAGCATAGACACCTGTTTTTCCATTATGGGGAAGCACCTTGGGGACGTATATGGCTTGTTTTCGCAATTGTTCACCAACATTAGGACACGCATTAAGCATAGCTGAGTCAACACCCGCGGAGGTCTTCTAGGCCAGTCAAGTGGTGTGCATGTTTCGCAGGCACCCCGAGCCCTATAGAGGACTCGTTCGTTCTACTTGATGCTCTCTCGCGGTTTGAGTGGAAGAAGCGTTCCAGTCGTTCCAGTCGACTTCCAGGCTACAACCTTGTTTCGCGGTAGAGGTATAGACTCTATACGGGCTGAGTGAGGTGAGAGAGAGGTGAACCACAGACATGAGCTGAAACCATGATGAACCATGGTGAACCACGAAAACCACAGCAAGTCACTGAACCAAGTGTTTCCTTTGCACGTTGTTGATTGTCCCGGAATGTTGTTTGGACCGGAACCACTAGTGATTCAGTTTTTTTTCTCCCAGGCCCGTTGCTGCGGTGATTCTTGCAGCGGCAGTGATCACCTATTCGGCGATGAGGTGGTTTGATTTGAGCAAAGACATAGGAGAGACACTCATGGTGTTGGGTTTTGGAATGTTTTGGATCTGGATGCCATCAGATCGATGAGGAGATCAATGTGATGGTTCAAATAGAGCGAGAAAAGACACCGCGATCGGGTGGTCCATTAAGACACCTCCTGGTCTTAGTAGGTTGACTATAGGGGAGCAGACCATTCTCAGCACGAGCGCTGCTCCTCGGCTGTTCCTGTTTTGTAGCAAGACCGAGGTCGGAGCATTCCAATTCCAAACAATACTGCATACATGGAATTCCATACCATCCTTGTCCTTTTGAATCGTCTATTTTATTGGGCTTCGGTGGAGGGTAGATACAACAAGGCTTTTGGTGGGCATGCAGCTTGCGATTGCAAGCAGGCTCAGCTTTAATTTTTGTGGAGGTCTAGTTTGAGGTGGTTTATATCATATATGTTATATATGCTGGTGTATATCTGAAGAATACTGTGTTTTGTTTGGTTGAATATTGTCAACGACGGGATAGTTATTTTTAGTGACAAACTATATTTTGTGCTCATGTTATCTTGTATAGCAGTAGAAACACCGGATCCATGACGGATCTTCCCCATGCAGCGTCACTGCAGAAAGCTCCAAAAGAATAATTACAAAGCGGTGGTCCCGATCCGCTTTTTGGGCTGGTGCTCGATCTCCGTCGGCACCGCCGGGGGCGCTCTTCTGTCGCCAGTGCGCCGGTGAAAGAGGGCGCCTCTTTCCCGTGGACCCTGAATCCGACCGGCTCCTCGGCTGAAATCCATGGGCGGGTGCATTTGACAAACAGAGAGAAACCATGGTTTTTCCGGATTATGCGAAAGGAGTGTGGACTCATTTTTCGCGAAGAAGGATCGAATGAGAACTATGGCTGAACTCTTGGTGTCCTGCCATGTTGACAAGGTGTACGGTATCAGATCAAGTTGACTGATTTGTGGTTCTGCTTGCAGATGTATATTTAGTACCTGCACTTCTACTTCCACTTCTTGGTGGCACTCCTCTTGCCCACTCCAACCGTCTCCGACCCTCAACGACCCACCGAGGCTTGCTGAACGACCTGACCGTGTGGGGGTGCCACGGTTTATCAAGGTACCACGCCGGGCACCGGTGGCGTCCTTAAGCCTTAAGGATCCAAGGACCGAACCTGAGGTGCTATTGCTGTATATCAAATGATCCACAGACCTAATATGGACTTATTGAACCAGTTTCCACAGACCGAACTGGATCAAATGATTGGAGACAGGCTTGGCAGACTATGGTGTTTTTTTCCTTTTTTTCCGGAGGCCAGGAGGGCCGAGTCATACAGAGAATGGGGGAGTATGTAGATCCGATCCGGCAATGGAAGTTGGAGTCTGGAGTTGGCCCTGGTTCCAAACTTGGAACATCGAACCGTCGGGCTTTTTTTCCCGAGGAAAACAGACCAATTCGTCATCAAAGGTCCCATGTTCAGCTTGAACGCGAGGGGTGGGATTCCATGGGTCCCGGTGTTTCATTCGATGAATTCAGTCGAATGGATGAGGTGTAAATGCCAATGCATATGACATGTTGTGGAAGGTTGAGCATTCGGATGGACATGTACTACAAACATGATTTGATTTACCCTTGAATGCTGGATATTCCGTTGCGACATACGCAAAGTTGAGGATCAAAGAATTGTAGCGCATCCAATCTTCGCCTGCTTTTAGCTTGGCGTGATGGTTTCAAGTTCTGCAAAAAGAACTTCACTCCATACACAAGCACCCTACCTTAGTCTATATACTCAACAGCTAAGTTCACCAGGACAGGCAGATGGGCGCCGGTACCGCGGTCATACCGCCGTTGGCCCAGCCCAGGTGGTTGGGCCTCTATGCTGCGACCATCCCAGCCAAGGAGCGGTCGAAGACATGGCATGTTTTGAGACGGGTTGAGCCGTTGAGCCATCTCTCCGGCCTGCAGGCCGTGGTTTTTTGCACCTGTTTGGGGGCAGAAGGGGCCATGCGGCAGGGAGAGCACATAAATGCATATTGTTTTGGATCCAAAGGGCAACCTGGCGTAAGCTCATAGCAGGGGAAGTGGTCATATTTGGTGTGATTATGAGGGTGCTCCGACCATCCTGGATGACCAGCCCGGCCTTGAAGCAGTTGTTACCACCGAGATGGTGGACGTAGCGATGCCTTTGGTGACTTGCCCACCGACCGACCCGGCCCCCACACCGGCCGAGCGTCGACGCTTGGCGCGCGGACCTGCCGCGGCAGTTCCACTGCCGCGCGGCAAGGGCGGGAACTCAGGAGCTTTTGAACGTGATCTTGAAGTTTGTGGGTGACCACGTAATCGGCTGCTGTGACAAACATTTGGAATCCGAGTTTTTTTCGAGAGCAAGTAGTCTTCATCATGTACCAATGTGTGTGCTTCTATAGAATTAGATGTTTCTATCCTGCTTTCTTGGCTCTTTTTGAGGGGAGGCTGGATGCGATACCTTTTTTAAGGCATGCTGGCTGAGCTCATGATGGCTTGTTCAGAAGTTCAGAGAGTCTGACCGGGTGTCAGACCTGGAAGGGAGCCCAGCTGCAGGGCTCACAGCTTTCCACGAGACCTGTGTTGCTAGATCTCTGAGAGCGTATCGCTGGTGTCAACTGGGTTACTTCCTCTATCTTCCACTTAAATTTCGGGACTAGAACGATTATAGCTCGAATCAAAGGCTTGGATCACAATCAGGTTTGGAATCCAGTGTGGTTTCTGACAGGTCCTTCACCTTTGTGTTCACCTTGTTGTCAACACATGTTTTGTTGGCGCACCAGGCTGGTGTTGTGTTGGTTTTCCCAACTGAAGCAGCATCGCTAGAAACCGACACATCATTTGCCCCTGCAGTCTACAAAGACTGGGCGGCAGTTCCATATTTTTGTGTTAATGTTTACTGTTTAACCTTAAGTTGGGAAGATTGCGCCCACTTACTATGCTGTCAAGTGAGTTGGAACCACCAACCAGAAGAGAATCCAATTGTTTATATTTGTAAGTGGTCAGATACCACACCGACCTACACATTTGAGCTCTGGGTTTTCTGGTGCCCTGGAGCTCTTCCAAGAGCAAACGGTTTGATTTTTAGTGCCTAGCACTTTCCGACCACGAACGTCCACTGTCTCAGTCTTGGTGGTAGACCACTCCGTCCGGTCGTCACGCGATCCAGGGTCCGGTCATCAGAACTGTCCTTTGAAGGGCCGTCTCCACCTGTTGGTGGAAGAAGATCTATGGGACCCCTCACTTTATAAGAAGCTACTAGTCACAAGGGCATTGCTACTCAAGAAGCTACTAGCAGCTCCTGGCAGTACTACTAGGAACAAGAAGCTACTAGTAACAAGAGCATCGCTACTAGTAGCAAATAGCTTCAGGAGTTCGCCAGCCAACGCCCTCCATTCCAAGAAGGGCCTGGTTTGTGCCGATGTTCACCAAGGCTATACGCGGATGGATGAGGGTGACCAGAAGGTCCCCAAATTGGAGGCTCCATGAGACGGACCGCGATGGAAAGACGCGGCCCCGGTGGAGAAAAGACACTTAAGGGAATGGATGGAAGACATGGCACATAATGGAATCGAAGGCATCCATCTATCACTCATTATATATATATATATATATATGCACATTGACAACTCCAACGTTCAAAATGTACTCTCTTTTCATCTCCAAAGTTGTTTGATCACGCCCACCATGTGGACTATTGTGAAACAGGGTGCAACCATTGCAATAAAGTCCCAAATCGCGGCACTGAACCATCAACACCCTTGGCATTTGATGAAGCACAGTGACCCGAGCTGGCAAGAGTTGGAGGGGTGGTATTTGAGCCAAGGGAGCATTGAGAGGATCACAGCAGTCGCTGTCACTGGCACCTACACCTTGTTGTGAATACTAGCGCACGTGGAAACGACGCCTGTGAACAGAAGCTGTTCCAATGTGCATTTGGGAGTGGGGAACTCTACCTTCCCAGGATCTCTCCAACACCAATCAGAATTCAGCCCAATCTGACCAGCATCCACCAGGAGGAAGGAAGTGGACCTCCCAACTGCCAAGTCCACCAGTAGAGGAGTTCATGGTCGCCATGAGGTTCCCTGGTTCCACTCCGAGAGCCGAGACTGCGGGTCACGAGACTGCGGGGTGGAGCTGCTTAAGCGGCCTGAAATGGGATCCACCGGTGATGTGGGTTTCACCCGCCACGTGTGATGCGGGTCATAACCCGCCACGCCCACATGCGCCCACCACGGGAAAGGGGCAGAAGCCACACCCCGCTGTCCCCCGTGCTGTGCCCGCCATCAGACAGGCCGAAACGTCACCTCTGAAAAGCGGACGACTGGCTCTCTCTCGTCGTCTCTTCCCTGAGCAACGATCTAGTGTTGGAGATTCTTGATTAATTAACCTTCTCCCGTCTACATTACGATGACCTAGCAACATGTTCACTTGATGCTTGCAGGGACGAAAACCGATTCAGCAAAGTTGGAAACCAGCAAGACACCGGCGGATTCACTGAACCGGCTTGTGTTTTGCAGTGGCATCCACACCATACCTTTCAGCGCAGGTTCTTGAGATGCATGACCTTTGTTACCTGGCGGTGAACACCATCGTGAGGGCCTCAATCGAGTGTTTTAGACTTGGGCTCACGGAGATCCGAGATGGATGAGGCTCAAAGGGTACTGTAATCTGTAACGCCCTTGAAGTCCAAACGTACATGATGCCCGTGGAGCACGTGGAGCACGTTGTTGCTGTTTTTCTTGTTTTTTCCATCAAGATAGAACTGGGTAAACAAGACCCACAACAAACACCATTCAAATAGCAGATTTTGTTGATGTTCATCCGAGGTCATCCTGGTCAATTAGGTGCGCTCGGTACCATGAGTCGATTCATCAACCAACCAGTCATTAATCGCCCAACGATCAAACAATTTGTTTATAGTAAGCCTCCAGCATGGGTTGAACTAGTGTTCTCTTTTGACCTCGTCATGCCTCGTTTTGAGATTTCGACAAGCCCCATGGGCATCCCGCGAAGCTCTTGATTTGGGGCTTAGGTGGAGTTCTTGGGAATGAATCATACGGGTGCCTTCCTCCTTGGAAGCTCCTTGGAGTATGACCCCAGGCGCGTCTAGACCGTCCAACATGTGTACAGAAGTTCGATGTTTGTTGGTGACAGAGGGGCCATGGAGGTTGAGTGAGGGGCCGGGTGAAATTCTTCTTGGAGGCCATTGGAGGCGTTGTAAAAGTCTGGAGTCTGGAGTCCCTGTTTTTGCGGTCAAGACTCGGGTTGGATGTTGTATGCATGGCGTCAGGGGTGGGGTTGCAGTGGACATAGAGAGAACAATGATGGAGAATATGTTCAGCTCTTGACTTTTGGACATCTACCAGCACTTGCTACCCATTTTCTATCTTTTTTGTAACACCTTGCTGGCTGACTGACTGACTGACTGACTGACTGACTGACTTGTTGTCTCCTTCACCTGGGGCCTTGTTGTGTGGCTGGCATGGACCTTGCAAATACATGTACTCGTTCGGTGTAAAGTCATGAGCCATGGAGTTGTTTAACTTGTGAACAAGGAAGTTGCACTTCGATGTTAATGTGCATTGAAACTGCTTCTCTTGAGCAGCAAGCGACTCTTTGTTGGTTTGAAAGATGGATTGGCCACAGTGCACCAAATCACAGTGCTCAACTGTGTATGGGTCAACATCCTCCGCTTTCGCTGACTTGGTCCTCAAACCTCCACTGGAGGCCGTTTTCGAGCAGCAACTCTGTTTGGTGGTTGGACACTCTCTCCACTACAATGCTTATCTCCATATCTTTGGTCACTAAATTTCAATCATCAAGCATTGTTGGCTTTCTCAAGTCCCATCTCCAGTTGCTTTGCTGCCAGGGGATTCAACATCTTCAATGGCCCACTCGCCTTCATCGCTGCCCTCCGCCTCAAGTTTTAGTTTTTGTTTGGGTGCTACTTGTTGCTTCACCGAGAAAACACTTGTGAATAAACCGAACAGTTATCAGTGATTTTGTTGTGTGCTTCTAAAATACAGTAACATATGCAATATGCACACATTTGTAGCGTGTTGAGAGAAGACCTTTTGACCAATGCTCTGGGAAGAACAACGCATTCACATGTGCCATGGAGAAATGACTATTATAGTTCAGGGCTGATCAGGGACAGCTATTGATTAGTAGAATACCACGATGTGTTCCATTCATGTATGTGAATTGAATGTTTTACTTTTCAAAGGGATGACCTAGTGAGGCACTCTTTGTTTTTTTGATTGGAGTAACCCCTGTTAAGGTCTGGAGGAGAAGCTCCCTCTGCCTCATCCAAATAGTATCTGGCCAAGACTTATGCGCAGTGAGGTCTTTGTGCTCAACGACCTCATCTACTATCCTTTCCACCTGATCGCGCACAGGCGCCAGCGCGCGTTGTTTTTGCACAGGCGCTGGGGGCTTTGATCTTGCGTGTGTTTCTTGAATTTTGAGGAACCAAGTTTGGTTGTATATTGAATTGTTAGGAACATTCAGGATGCACAAGTACGATATAGTACGATGTATTAGATTCTTAGATATTTCTATTGATATTTCATGATATCGAGATAGATCGAAGGTAAGATCGGATAAGATCAACCAAGTCCGACTAACTGCACCTTGTCAGTCTGTAAAACAATGCTAGCCTTTATTGAGATTGAGTCAAACCCCATCTCAATCACTTGCTGTTCCTGCTGTTCCAGCGTGTATACCGGTATGCCTAGGGTCTACTGAGTCTTATGTCGAACGATCAATTATGTGCTTTTCTTTGTGAAATGACAGCTCAGATTGTCTTTCTTTCATAAGAATTATAGATCTTAGGAGTGGTAGAAGGCGGGGCCTAATTTGTGTCTTTTTGTATTTTATTCACCGACTTTGACTTGCTTCCAAACAACTCCCACATCAGTCTTGTCCTTTCCAAGGGACTCGTCTAATGCGCCTACCTAGGCGCATTTTCTACCCGTATTGCCACAAGCAGCATCACCGACAGTGCCACGGCAGACAGGAAGATCATGGGATTCCGACAGGGATATCATGTTGATTCTTGTGGAGATGAGGAGATGACACTGGTAAACCACCGGGCAAAACCACGCAGGACTGGTATATCGAGGTGTCATAGAAGTCAAGCCAGTTTCGACGGGCGGTGCGTTGTGCTTGGTCAACGCTAGCGATCCAAAAGGCTTGCACGAGCTGATCAAAGATGTTGCGAAGGGCATGACGTTTTCGCATTTCGTCTTTGCTCTAGATGGATCGAGGGAATTCAACTCACGTTCCTTTCTGCAATTGTTCTCAGGTCTATAGTCATTTATCCCTAAGGCCAGATTCGGCGTGGTCACCCTTTCAAAGAATGCTTGGATATTTGCACCTCCTCAGCTTGTCAGATGGTAGCAGGAAAGCAGGAAAGCATGCTTAGGGATTCAAAGCGGGCAGCCCGGCCCGAAGATACATAGGAAGATGCGCAGGCTCTGAGCTGCCAACGTAGACGGAGGTAGAACATGCTGTGCCACTATGGTCACTATCCCATGGACAAAGGTACCATGGGGTCACTCCAGAACTATAAGAACTATATGAGAACCACACTTTCACTCTCGATGTCTAGAACCTCCTTGACGTCTTCTTCGGGTGAACAGAGGGCGTCTTCCCGAGGTTCGTGCCCTTCCGTGGCTACGCGGATGCCGCGAATCAGCACCCCTTGGAACAGATGGTCCGCCCATTCTACCGTTCTCTGGGTCCCGGCGGTGGAGAGGAACGATCCGTCCGGGGTATACCGACCATCTGTTTGGCTCTACGGAGAAACCATCACTGCAGGGTCAACAAAGGGGTAAGACATGGTAAGACGGTAAGAGCCGAGAAGGTCCTGGCAGAATTTGGTAGACGTCAGGTCTAGGTATAAATCATTACCATTCTTTGTTGGTAAGTGCAACTACTACGGAAAATTACTGTATTTGACAACCACTACGACTGATAACAGTACTGTATTTGCATGACAATTAATATATCACCTCTCTAACTGTGTAGACCAAGAACTGACCTCCACACCCAAGGAGGTGCGAACTTGACCATTTTGATCTAACTGTATTATAGACCGTGGACAAGCGTTAATCCGGGGGCCAATGGAAGCACAGACCCAACAAACAGACAGTTGCTACGTTGAACCTTTGACACGGTCCGTGTCGCATACGATCGCCCCACACACCCGGTCCGCTGGTCGCACCGTCCAGTATGGCTTCTCCATTTGGATTGGCAGCCGGGGAGCCACAGCGAGGGTGCCGTTCCAGTCCTTTCATTCGTTTGGCAAACGTTATTCTTGGTGTAGGATGGTGTAGGGCATCTGTAGTTTGGCAAAAAGGGCCAAAGGCGGCAGCTGCAAACAGGCAGCAGGGGCTACAAGATGTTTACAACTCGGTGTCGTGTTTGGGCAAAACCTTACCCTGAAGCCTGCTGACTCAAGTTCAGTGGTTCCGTATTGCATGTACTCAGTCAAAGGCAGGTCACTTGAAAACCCTGCCTGGGATAAAGGCCACATGCCCAAGGCGTTTGATTTTGGGTTGCCTTTAATTATCGTCATGAATCGTCGTGGTGTCTGATACCCGGTCGCAACGTCCAAATCTGAGTCGTTACTTTTTGAATCCGCAACTGAGCTGTTGGCTCGAGCCAAGTAGCAAAGCCTTTACATATAATATACAGTGGTTTCAGAGTATATGGCATAATTAAACGTGGTTTATAAGGACCCCCCATATAAAAGACGTCTTTGGGTTTGTACATCTTTGGATTTGTGCCGTAGCAAAGCTTCATAAGGTGGTCATCATCGCCTCGTTGCTGAGGCCTTTGGATCATCTCCAAGCTCTTGGGATTGCACGCAGCAACCGCTTGGTCCGGGACACCCGGAAGTGGTTAGACTCCAACCGCTTTCGAAGTCTGACGACGAGAGTGTCAAAGTACATGGTGTTTGGTGTGCGTTTGGAGGATGAGCCTGAAATAGTCTGAACATTTGCATCATTTGGCAGTCAATTTAAGCATATTTATATATAATATGCATATATTAGCCAATGTCCTTCTCTATTGTGAGAAACAGAGAACACCTTGCTGTGCTTCTTGGCGCGAAGCCAAAGATCGTCCCAAGATTAAGATCTTGCAGCAGTGTGCGAAGGTTGATCCTGTTGAATGGTTTGACCTGAACATGGTTCAAGAGTGTACATGTTAATAGGACCACCCCAAAACCATTGCAATGGGTTGTGGTCGATCTATTTTTGTCTTCCAGGGATTCTATCTCCCCAAACCACCCATCCCGACGTGGGTCCCGACGTCGCCAGAGATTTGGTCCATCACTCATGTGTTTTTCGGCCGTCACAAAAAAAAGACAGGTGATCGGCAGAAAGCAGAACCCTGTGTGAGGTGATCGTCAGAAAAAGTAAGAACACCCCTCATGTGTTTTTGGACCTCCGACCTTTGTTCCCCCATACGCGTGTGGAATCGAGTTGCGTGGTCCCACCGCGCAAGTTGGATTTGAGGTTTGGAACCATCGCCTGGGCGGTCTTGAACATTTGCAGCTTGGGCTTGGTCGGTGTGTTTTTGCTTGGGCGGTTGATCCGGTGCAACTGATCCGACTGTCAGCGTTTTTTGCTGCCTCGACGTCTCGGTGAAGGTTAACATGAAACAGGCTTCTAGGTTGGAGGCTAGCGGCACAACATGCACCGGTGTTGGGCAAAGAGTGGCGGTTCGTGGGAAACATGTTCAAACCTAGATTTACATAATTGAAGTCTCGAGGGCTCAGTGGGCTCAAACCATTCGAGAAACATCACTCATGATCAAACCATTTGAGACTTAGGACCCAAACACTTCGTCTTGAGAAAGACTCCGCTCAAGAGCTTGAGGCTTAGACATGCCATGACATGCCGATCTACAGACCTTTCGGCATGAGCGACCAGCAGGGCTTTCATGGCGGACATCTCTGCTCTGGGAAGCGTTTGTTTTCTTGGCACTGTGCCTGTGATGGTTCTGAGTTCGCCTGGCACGGGAGACCCCCACCTTTTTTTCCCACCGAGTCTACGAACAGAACAGAATAGACATGAATAGACTACAGGTTAGGGCGATCAACCCACCAGGGTGCACAGTGCTCTATCGGGTGAGACGAGCCGGAGCGGCACAAAACAAAAAACGACGAGCCGGTGCGGACGTCAAAGGTATTGGAGGAATCGTTGGGAGTTGGCAAAGCCCCACCCAGATTCGGATGAGTTGTGAATGTTGTCTGTTTGCACCCAAGAGTCATTGTGCTGATGACTGTGGGCCTAGTTTACTAGTTGGAAACAACGTTTCTTGCTGTTGTCAAACCAACAGCTCGTTCTTCAACGAGTAGTACTCGCTTATGGTCGCTGCTGTTGGTCGCATCCACTAAGTGTTTTCCCATCCGGACCGGGTGGATTGCGACCGCCGCTCCCGGTGTTTGAATCGCCTCTTCGGACCGGGACCACCGGGACCACGGGACCGCTGGCTGCTTGAAAGCAGGTAACCACCTGCCCTTCGACACGTGCATCCACCTCCCTGTCCCGTGCCCTGTCAGGTCGGTAGCGGTGTCGGAGCGGTGCAATGGTCTAACCCCCAACAGAAGGTGCCTCTCAGTCCAACCCGATCCCCTGAAGAGGGGGGAAAAGGTTTCGTAAAGACTACGAAAGGCGACGATTGTTGAACAAACTAAAAACACATGACTGCAGTTTTTCCAGCCAGGGTCATCAGACGATCATAATTATCTTGCATATTATCACCACATTTCACGTGACGTGGGTGTGACTCCAGCAGAATTTGATCTTAACAGTTTGTTACAGGCAGTATTTCAGTAATTTTCAGTGTTACTAGCGATGGCCTCCAACCTAAGAGGTGGGGGAGTTCATGACCAGTATACTCAGATTGATCTATCCTCGTGGAGTACAATGCTTTTCGATGTGTAGTCCACAGCGCAACAACCAGCCGGATTGTTTGAGTTCTTTTGAACGGTTGCCATAGACACCTTTTTATAGTTTTGAGCTGATCCAGAAACCGTTCATTTCAAAAAAGAGGCAAGAAGACTGTGATGAAACTAATAATTGAACAACAAATACAAAGGAATAGTACAAAATAGTATTAAAAACAAACAAACAACACTATTTACCCAAGGAAGGCTCATGAGTGCTGGCCCCCTAACTTGGAGCAAAAAGAGAGGAACATTTGATTAGAGGAGGATGAAAGAGGAGCAAGAGAGCAAGAGAAGAACGAGAAAAAGACTGCCTGCAAGGAAATTACAATGTGCCAACCGATCCTCGCTGCTATTTGAGGAGGCGAATGATTGAACCACTGTAACGCTTGCTCAAACACAGAAGCCCATAACCAGCCACCCACAGCACTTAAACGCAAAAGGACTTGGTTGGAAGGAATCCTTCAATAAAGGTGACTTGAGGAGACCTTGATTGGTTTGATTGGGTCAAAATCGTTGCTTAGTATTAGATGGAATAAACCAAGAGACGATGCGAGAAGACATTAAGAGGACAAACAAGTAGAGAGAAACAATCACCCAGGAAAGGAGAGTTATTGTTGTAGTGCAGGAAGTCAACTTATTAACATGTGTGTCACATAGACTTTCTCGAGTATTGGTCTCTTTTTCAGGAGGCCAGAGTGATTTATTATTGTGGTTTATTGAGCACATGGCAGGAACATGTTGGTTTTGGCAAGGATTCACGATCAAGGATTTGTGTGTCTTTCCTAGGGTGAACACATATAGAAACTGATGGTTTGGAGCTGGGTTGAAAGCTCTGAACCTTAACGCAAAACCAAAAAGAAGGTTCAAGAAGACCAAACCAAAATATATGCAGAAAGAGCAAGTATTGCAAGACTTGTTCAATTTAAATAGGGAGACGATAGACATTTATATTTTTATTTTTAGCAGACCTTTCAATATCCGAGGTCAGGTTACTTGAGGAGTGTCAGCTTTTTTGTCCTTTTCCGTGGGAGGAAGCATAGGTTTATAATTGGTTGTCAAATCCGCGTTGCATAATACTATCACTCACACTTTTGTTTACTTTGTTCAGTTCTATGAGTTAACTCATGTCTGTGAATATGTCCAAACCGCTGCTCCAGAGTCCGTTTTCAGCGCACCGGAGAAGCTGCTCCAGGTACCCTGCTTTGCCCAAGGATCACAACACGTCGCTCGGCACCGGTGGGCTTCCGGCGGGCGGCGGTGCGGCCGTTTGCTGCGGTGAAACACCTGGTGGCTCGCTGCGCACTCGCGGGGACAGCGAGCGGAGCAATGTGTGAGCTGCCGATGTGTAACCTTATTTGTTGTCTTGCATGTTAGCTGCCTAGACATGCTCACCCATTCAAGTTGGCAGAGGTGCTCACAGGGTACACAAAGCATCACAGAGCTTTCACATGATGCAAATCTAATGGCCTGTTGTTTTCACCAGCCAAGCAACCAGTTCACGTTTGAGACAACACCCGCTATTGCAAGACAAGGTGCACATGGATGACCAATCACCACGGAGATGGTTTTGGCATCGTGACAGGTTCGCTGTTCACACTTGTAAGAATCCAAGAACGTCGTGAAAGAATCTCACTCCGCAACGCCGGTTTTGTCGTGTTTCTATGGTGTTGTGTGACCTTAGAAGAAACCTGGAGTCTTGGATCTTGCTGCTGGTCATATTGGTTTGCCCTTGTTGGTTCTATACTTTCCCGTATCGGATCTACTGGTTAGTCGGTTAGTACATGTTAGCACAAAGGAGTCGACATACCACTCCGCTGTGGATCCATTAAATCCCCAGGGCGGACGACTTGTCATCCATGCTGCTTCTTGCCGCAGGCACCATCGCTTTCCAAACACCAACTACGCGACCCTTAGCACCATGACGGACTGCTGGGGTTCAGAAAAAGGAATGCACATGTACCAGCTTCTTCAGTACGTGACCTTCAGGGTTCCTTTTCATGACCCTTGGGAGGCTTAAGTGAACCAGGTAGGATGGGTCTCTCTTTCGCGTCACTGGCGTCCACGGCCCTGGTCCCCAAGAAGGGTCAGAAGGGTCGTACCGGTGGCACGGTCGCCGACCGGTCGTCATGGTGGTGACCATGTGGTACCGGTTTTTCTGGGCACGGAGGTCCCAATGTTTGGGTGCTCAAAGGCGGACTGCGGAACTCACAGAGGTAACATGCTCAACAGAGCAGAGCAAGTGACTGACGGCTGTACTGCTTATTCACATCGTGAAAACTGCTCTTGATGCCGCAGCTCGTTCGGCGAGCCGTCCCCCCCCAGCGGCCAGGACCGCGCTTTTGGCACCTTCCGGCCGTGAGCCGGGAAGAGTCCGGATGGGCGGAAGAGTCCGGAGAGAGGAGTCTCCTTGAGGCCCTATAGGCTATAAGGGGTGTCAATTCCCAAACGGGATCCCTTTTGCTTTCGAAGCCGCAGGTTTCGGTACGCCTGGAGTTTGTTGGGTACAATCCACTTAAGAGAGTGTGCGAACACATCACCGCACCGCAGAGGGTAAGTGGATTAAGAAGTGTCCGTTAACCAGCGCATGTCCGGGGGCTTTGGTAGAGTTCTTTCTAGTTGAATTTGTGCGTCACTTCTTTAGCTTCAGCGTTGGTTCGTGAAAATGAGATAGAAGCTCTAGCTGAAAGTGGCTGAAAGGCTGGATTCGCAAATTTGGGAACGTGTTGGTCACATCATTTTGGGAGAATTCCAAATCTTCATGGAGTGAGGAAGTTTGCTGAAACCTGCTTTCAAATCAAGACTCATACAGACTCATTTGATGCCTTTTTGTTCCAAAACTCATAACGGTCTTGGATGGCTTGGAATGGCAGTCCCAGTGTATTTCCAGTTGATCGGACCCCCGCAAACGAACACCATTTCGGCACGAAAGGTACAGAGCTGCTGGGAAGGCAGTCAATGAGTCGGGGGATCCTAGAGAGTGTCGGGCTGCCGACGAAGCTGGCGGACTTCTTTTTCGTGTCTGTGCCTGGCCTGTGCCTCTTGAGGAGTAGAGTCGTCTAGTTGTTTAGTTGTCGTTTCAGAAGTCTATGGGTCAAGATGTACATGCCAAACGCTCCATGTAAGCCAATATATTATAGATAGAAAACCAAATGATGAGTGGACGCGGAAGACACTCTTTTTTTCGATCTCTTTGGAGATGAGTGGACGAACGATGCCAGACGAATGGACTTGACGCCAGGCTTGGCGCATCATGACATGTCCTGACTCAGTCCAGATTCATTGGTTCTGAAGTTGGGTGACTGTCCATATATGGCATACATAGAGTGTTTGGGTATTACATATCAATTCTATTGGAACTTTGCGGGGTTTGATTCTCGATAGTTGGATGGTTCGGAACTGGCCTGGCACCGTTTCAAGGGCGCCTGGGCCAACATATATTCTGCTTTGAGCAATACCAACATCTTTCATGCGGACTCGTATCTATATATAGACAGCTAGCTTTTTTTGATCCACACAAAGCCAACCACAAGCAAAAACCATAAAACATGTGTTTGTGTGTTTGTTTGTTTAGGAGTATTGAACATCATTATTTGTGCACCCTTCGAGCATTCCAACCCCTCCCCCCCAAAATAAAAGAAGCACCCCGTGCGTCTCTCCTGTCTTCCATGCGGCGTGGCCGGAATTGCAGGAATGACGAGCAGGAGATTCCAAGTCTCAGAGAGGCGCTGTGTTCGTTTCGAAGGGTGGTGTTTTTATTGTGAATGACACTTCATTCATGTATATTTCTCTCTGGGGGGTTCATCAGAGAGGCTCACAAACTATGGACTTTGGCACCCACACAGGATAACAGGTAGACATCAATAGCAGCATTCAAAGGATTGCACAACTGTTCTCCCCACATTCTTTCCCAGTATGTTTGTTACATACTTAGCTGCCTCATCAAAACTCACCTTGGTACTGCGCTGTACACTGGCCTAGCACGAGAGAATACAAAAGAGCGGCGTTTGACACAAACAAGTGGGAGGTATTGTTTTGTCACGCAACATAACAAGCCTGACATGAGATTCCGCCCACTTGAATTTACTGTGGCAGGGTAACCTACAGTTGAAGATGGCACCATAGGATGATGCCCTATATCCTTTGTATATTACATGCGGCCGTGCCTCTTCATGACGCCTTGACCTCTTCCTATATATGATCCTATATGGTGTTTTCGATTCACAAAGTACTATACCAGGTCGTTGTCAAGTCTTGCTAAGTCTTGTCGTTCTTTCTACAAGTCTTCCGCTCGGCCACCTTCGCAGGCCGTGCCTTCGCAATGGTCTTTCCTTTGCCACTGGGCGTCGTTTCGCGTGTCGATGGGGGAACGGAGAAACGACTGTTGTGGTCGTGCGAAGATCGATGCGACTGTTGTGGTCTCATGTTTTGGAAACAAGTAGAAAACATATGGCTGTGGGTCGAAACCTCCTACCCCTGGTTGACCGGTGAAAATGAACAGATTTCTCTATAATGGATGTCAACTCATCAGGATTGGCTCCAGGTTTTGTCCCACAGCCTAACATCGAGTCTTGCACATCAATGCCTGTCCTGACTTAGACAGGCAAAGGAACTGCCGTGAGTGGTGGGAACCGGTTTGGTGGTTGGACCCACTTGGAAGCATCAACTACTTATGAACGAGGGATGAAGAACCGAAGCGTTCACCCATGGGAGGTGGTGAATGTGAATGTGCTGCGCTGAAGCTCAACTGGTACACTGGGGAGAAACGGAGAAAGTGCGGAGAAAGTGGGTCAAACACCTCGCCTCTCCCCCCCAATGTCGAAAACACACAGAACGTTCAACTAGCTCTGATGTTTACCCTTATATTGATCCACTGCATTGATTTCTTAATTTATGTATAATTGTCATTGGTCGATCTATTGCTAATTTATATATGACTCTATACCAGGACCATCCTGTTTGGGTGTCCTGGCGGGACTATGACTACCCCACCCACTACTGTCCGCGATTTCCAGGACACCCAGATGGTCGGAGGGTCCAGGTATGCTCTTCATTTGCACAAGCCCAGACACTCCATGGGACTGGCATCTACATTGAGCCCCTTTTCAAACACCCCTGGCCGTTTCTCGGCAGTCCGTCCTGCCAGTCCCAGACTCGTCGTGTCTGGGAAGTGGCGAACTGCAAACAGTTTCGCCTCGACTCTCCGAGCGACAGCCTGGCCGCCCGCCTTCGCACCGGGTCTCGATAGACCAAAAGCGAGTCGACATGCCGGTCAAAGCAATTCCCACAGAGCCAGCTGGAGCAAAACGGATAGCAGTGATAGCAACATGGCTTCGTTAGAGCCAGCTGGTGCCCCACTTTCGGGCCTTTAGAGCTTGGTGACTGCCACTGAAAACTGCTATACAGAAAGCTCCAGATGGTGTTTCGATTCACCATTGATGATCATTGATCTATTTATTCAACATATACAATTGCTCTGAGCCTGGCCTTGCCAACTGGATGCATCAGGAGGACATAGTCAATGCGACCCTTTATCAACTTCTTCCGCGTGTTTCGTGCCATGTCGTAGTAATTGGACATCTTGAAGAGGTTTAGTAAGCTTTCCACCCTGGCCACCCTTCTTCCGCATCGGGCCGTGGGAACGCATGCCGGTCGCACCCGAGGCATTGGCGTCCTCCTTTTCTTTTCCCTTTTGGCGGTCGAGGCATCCGGCCGTTGGATGCAGGAAGATGGGGGATGGGTCCCTCTTTAAACGAACATGGCCATTTCTCACTCTATAGTGATCATCTTAGATATTTGCGAGTTGATCGTTTGATGATTGATAGTGTGATGGTGGTCAGAGCATCTACACCTAAGTGCCGAACTCTTGATAGGCCAAGAGCGCGTGTGTGGGAGAATCTGAGAAGGTGTCTCTACGCTAAGCCGAGGCGGTGCAGCTTGGCGGTGCACTGCCCTCACGCTCGATGTCAGCGGTTTCTTGGTGCGGATTGTTGGTCGTTCGAAGAGTTTTTTTCGATGTGTTACTGTTATGGGTTGTTTGACCTCAGCCTGCTCTTCCACTTCCGTGACCAAATACCCTGTTTGATAGGAAATCAGGTTGCTTTTCAGGTGTTCTTCATGGGTCAGAGAACAGGAAGGGTGATGATGGAAGAATTGCAGAAGCAAAACGTATACTCTACGGACCTTGACATCGGTTCCCATCCCTTGTGGCAACCGGAGATTATTTGAACAATGGTGCCCGAACGATTTGTTTCCTGACTATATAGGGCCGCTTATTGTATAGTGAGACCCATTTAACGTTTTGTATACTGGTTTTCCCTTGTCCTTCGAGACCCCATCATTTCCATACCTACCCCATCTTGTGCCAACTTAGAAAGAAACACAATGTACTGAAGGACAGCTCGTTTTGAGTGCTCTGCAGGGGACAGCATACAGGGGACAGCGTACAAGGACTTGTGCATTTGTTGCTCTCCCGAACGTTGTGGATTCCGTCTCCAACCACCACTGGTCGTTGTGGTCGTTAGTACAGCCCACTTTTGACCTTGAGCCCTGACTCCTATTCTTCCCCCCCCCTAAACATCCCACTTTGGGTTAGTCACTATAAGTGGATCCCACAAAATGCAGGGACCCTGGCCAAACTCCGATTTCGGTTCTCAACTCTGGCCACCCTCCTCCGTGATTTCGAGATGCATCCGATCCTCTCAGCCCTCCTCCCATCCGGTGCCCAACACCCAACGAGCCGCACGCCCGGAGCCGCACGCCCGGAGCACCGACGACATCCGTCTCATCTCCGCTCTCCGCGTCGTTGGTCGACACGTCGCGAGTTGGTCCGTCCGCGGCGTTGAAGACTCGGCACTGGAAGATCTGCCGAGTTTCAGAGCTCTGCCCTCCTCCTTTTGACCTTGAGCTTCACCTCTTGGGCGGTGCGGCCCACAGGTGCCGCCATGCGCGCAAGTCGTAAGGTGTTGAAGGGGGGGGGTTCATAGTCCGGTATAGGTCCTAAGAGGTAGGTCCGGTGGTTCCGGTGCCGAGTCAACTTGGTGTCCGAAGCTTTTGGAGGGGTGACGAACTTCCTTCGAAGCAAGAGGAGGACATCTTGAAAGACGGCCATGACTGGAGAGGACACTTCCACGAACAACAGTACACGGCCATGACTGGGTTGGTTAACTAGGGGAAGGACTAACATGCCAGTGATCAGTGATCAGGTGCTGGACTCTACTTCGGCTTCGTTGGCTGCCGAGCTTGGCCTAGCCAGACATTTGACTGGCTCAATTCACAAGTTTGGGTAGATACTTTCCGCCTCACTTTAGACCTGCTGTTGAAGTCCAATGGCTGGGGTCAAAACCAGAAGACCTTGCTTGACCAGCTCACTACCAGCCAGGTCAACCACGGTTTGGAGCGAGCTCCAGACCATCCCCAAATCCACACGAGAAGGTCACTGCGTAATCTTTTGTTTTGTTTTTAACAGACTTTTCAGGGTTTGCCCTAGTAGCGATGCCAGGAGCCCTTATAGTAGCTTACTTCTTATTCCTAGCAGCGATGCCAGGAGCCCCTAGTAGCTTCTTGCCCCGATACCTTGAGTTTCCACTTCAACATGTTGCAAGTCCCACCTGCTTGCACCTCAAATGCATTGTTTCAGAACTTCTCAGTCGATCTAAAGGTCCGTCTCAGTCGATCTCGCTCTCTTCGCTTCTTTGGCCTCTCAGGGGTTGCTCCTCTGCCAGACTCCGCCCGACCACAGCGCTTTCGGCTCAAGCAGCGGCGGCGCGGGCCGTCCGAGTCCACGGAGAACCCGAGTCCAAGACACGGCGGGAACCGGCCGAGGGGCTGAGGGCGCAGCCGCGAGAGGGCGCCGGGGTCTCATTTTCTGGAGCTGACTGAGCTGGATTTGTCTGGAAACTATAGTGGTCTTCTTGGCTGCGCATCATTTGGTTTTTGTTGGGTTGAGAGGGTGGGGTGTCCCTTCTAGTACAGGTGAAAGAGATTCCATGTCTGGTAATTTTAACAACCACTCCCAACAAATCGGTACTATGTGCCAGTTTTGATGCTAAAGGGATAGATGAGATTCATGATAGTATTACCCCAAAACTGGCAGCCCAGCCTGTGTTGGGTGGGGATAGGCAAAACTGGGTAGATACACCTGCGAGCTTGACTTATGTATGTCAATTTAGCTTTCATTTTTTGCTTCGCAAGCTGGGGGCAGATCTTTCTCCGATGTCTCTTTCTATTTGTGAATGGTCCTCAAGAATCAACTTCTGGATGAATGAACAATCGCAAGGCACAATGCCATAGATGAGATATCCCTTGGGGACAAAGTCATAGTTAATGGATGAAGAATCTACCACTTCTATAGATGGTCCCAACATGTCTCAACGTTGAGAGTGTTCATGTGAGGCCCTGCCTGAGGACATGATTGGCACCCAGCCATCATGCAATCAACGCAGTCGACCGTGGTGCCTGTTACTATTACTCATCCGCTGGTGACGCAGGCAGTGAGCAAGTTTCGTGCTTTAGGGCTGCGATGGATGGCAGGGGGGGCTCGATTAGGTGTGGCTTTCATATCGAGGGTGGGACAGGAGAGCAATGTGAAATATGGATAAACATGGTACTTTAGAACAACAGGGCTTCTGTGATATGGCTTTGGCTGAGGCTCAAATTTGTACCATCCAAGCTCACTGGCCTGTGGGTTCCCGGTCTTATTGTAATTACACTAACAAGCAACTGATACTACAGGCAAATGCTATTATTGTCCAACAGCCAATTTCGGGACACCGTTGGAATCTCATGTTTGCACCACGAGGGCTGGCCCAGAGTTTCCTGGGCAAGGTGCATCAAGCATGGGAATGAGTCTGTTGATGGAACGGCAAGGACCTAAGGACGGGCACACTGATTGAGTTTGCTTCAACAACCCATCTTCTGAATACAGTGAATGCAGCAGAAACAGTCAATGTTACAAACTCCTCGACCTGTTTTTGCACCAATATCTGCTTCAGAGGTCCGGTTGGTCTGGATGGCTCATGTTTTCCAGTAGCTTCAGTAGCTGGTTCACCTTGCCCTCGACTGAGATGACGAGCTGGAGTACACCCTCTTGAACAAGAGGGAGGTCTTGGTCTCGCTTCCCAGTGGTCCCAGTGGTCCCTCCGTCGCGCGTTGTTGGCGTCGCTGGTCGTTTGCCACGGACGCGGGAAGCCCAGACGACTGGGACTGCCGCCGAGAAACGGCCAGGGGTGGTTGACTGGGGGTCAATTGATCGGCATATATGGCAGTCCCATGGAGTGAGTGGGGTGTTGGGCGAGCACGACAGCTCTTCTAGTCGGGGACGACAGCTCGGAAGGTGATCCACGTTTTTGCAGACTGCCGTTTGCACAGATCACAGATTCGTTTGAACGTTTGCTCGTGTCACAGCCTTAAAAGAGAACTATAATCGCCTATACATAATATAGCTTACACAGGTAGTTGGGTTGAGTTCTTGGATCATTTCAGTTACCAGGATGGACAATAAACACCCAAGCAGCGACCTGGTGGCAGAAAGTTCCTCCCAAACATGTCGCTCAATGCCAATCCGGGATGATCGAATTTGGATGACCATCCCAGCTGGGGAAAGCAAAGCCAACAGCCCTTTTCCCCGCCGTTTCTTTCAAAAGAGAGCACTGAGAGACATGTTCCACATATGTTCCACATAACTAGAAACATTAAACTACTGTAGAAAGTGGCAAGAAAAGATTAAACAAACAAACACACAAGAAAACACACCCCAGCTCCAGAACGCCTGCAACGCCCAGAGACGTCTTTGCTGTCGGAGCGGTCGCCTGGTCGCCTGACCAGGTCTATCAGATTCCACCCGCTTCGTCCTCCACCGGGCACAAGGCGGATGATTGGAAGACGCTTGGCATTTTCGCGGATTCACTCCGCGATTTCTCGGATTGGTTTGATGCGCGGCGAGAACCTTCCAGTTTTGGGATGAACACGCAGCAGCTGCCAAAAGATCGGTGGGATCATCTGAAGTTGATGGGGAGGATCGGGGACAATGGTTGGTTGGGATGCTTTTTCGGAGGTTTTGCAGGGTTTGGATGGCATTTGGTTGGGTTAGCGAGAATGCTGCGATGAGAAGCTGTATGATGACGGACAGGTATGGTGTGCCGTGAATCAATTGGAGTCACACAGCACGGGGTAGATGAAGATGGAACTGAACACGTTTTGTTGTTTCCCTCCACTAAAAGGATTAATCTTGGACATGGATGCCTCAACCCATCCAGCTGCACGGGCTCGCCTCTTTTTTCAACACAGCGTTTTCTTTGAGTGGTGCTCTTTCTGTGCAGCATTCAATGGTAAGTTTAAGTGCGCATTCAACAAAAAGCGGAAATGACATGGAAATGACCCAGTCTCTTAATTCCTGGGCCTTTCCGGCAAGGCCTTTCCGCCCGGCCCTCTGCAGAAATCACCGATTCGGCACCGATCGAGCCTGCCCAGGAAATGTATTTGGCGAGGCCGGCTTAGGCGAGGAATGGCTTTCGTTTGGAGCGCTTAAGATTCTGACATGTTGTTGGACGGATGCTTCAGAATGAGACAAAAAAGCAAAATCATAAACGGACTTTGGCAAGCGCATGGTGTTTCCCAACCTTACGACTTGGTAGAAAGCGCATCATGAAAGTGCTGCTTGTTTTACTAAAGCATCCTGATTTGATTCGATTGCAGGAGCACTTCTTCTTTCTTCAAGGGGACATGAGTCGACCCATAAATTCCATTGTCTTTAATATTCTTTAATAATCCATCACTGTCCCCTCATTGTGGTGATCTCGTGAAAAACAACCCATGCAGTGAGATGTTGGAAGAGCCTCAAGTACGAATCGAAGCTGTCAGGGACTGACCCTATCCCAAACACTCCTGCATACAGGGTTCACCGCAATACTGGGGGTCTCATGACTCTCACAGTGACGATGTGTATTTGTTTTGTATTTTTGCACAAATCCAGAGCCAATTTGGAGTAAACCCACTTCCCGTCGTGCCAGATCCCCCCCGTGGTCTTCCCTTCCGCGACGCGCCAGGATCGCTGGGAAGGGCAAAGACCTTTCCGTGAAGCTTTTGGACGGCGGTAGCGGGCGGGCAGATCGTCTCGCGGCGGTTAGAGACGCGGTTTTTGCGCGGTTGGAAGGATCACATGGTTATCATGGTTTGACGTTTCATGTTTTGTGATTATTTTCTCTTCTAGGTCTTGATTTTGGGAAGATGTATCTGCATATCATGAGATCGGCGAGCTCTGTAACATTCTGTATATAATATGTTCTGCATGTGTATGTTTAACCAAACACATGCGGCTTAATGAAGTGTTTGAAACGCTGTTTCTTGGAACCTCAGAGACTCCATCCAAAGGCCCCCTCTCGGCGAAGCAGATCCCGCGGTCCCCAGGTGTTACAGACTACTATATAAAGAATCGAACTTTCAGACCTACGTTTTGGTTGGAGTTTCCCAAGTCTGGCTGGAACACATCGCTTCGCATTCCTAACTCCTCTAGACTCTACGCTAGACACTGGAGCAGATGAAGAATGATGAAGATGTATTTTTTTAACATTTATGATAGCGCCCCATCCGAGCCTTGGAGCTTCTCCCCTTTGCCAGGAACCTCTTCGCGCAGTGTGCAATCCCGAACGGGGACTACACCAACTATGTGGCCCGACTCGCAGTTGGTGCAGTCGGATGTGCCAGATGGTCCCCGGAGCTGCTGGGTGTGGCAAGGGACCGAGCCCGAGCCTTGCGTCGCCTCCAGAGCCTCCGTGTTCACCTCTTTAGGGCCACGAATTCCTCACCACACCAGTTGAAACCGAAATGACATCTATGTACAAATTGTGTATGTTCTAATGTATGTTCATTGTATAAATATATATGTTCATCCACATTGTCCTAATTCCATATATGTTCACACATCCTCACCCATCGACATATATAATATATGTATATATATGTCCAAATTCCACGGTCACCACATATTTCACACATCCAATCTTACAACCATGCATCTCCCACACCCCACGCCATGGGCGCGCGACCCCCAATCGGCCGCCGGGCGCGGCCGTGCCGTTGGGCCGCCCTTGCCTCACGAGGTGGAGCGCGTCGTCGACTCGAGCCGCTACTTCGTTCTGAAGATCACCAACGGCGACCGGCACCTCGGCCCACAACACTCGAGGAGCCGAAATCGGAACGAGCTCGAGGAGAGCAAACCAACGGCGACCGCATGAGACGAAATCCGAAGACCACGTTGGTCTCAGGGAGTGGTTGGCTGTGTGTTTCTTTTTTTTTTCACAAGACCACGTTAGTCTCAGGGAGGGGTTGGCTGTGGTGCTGTTGGGTGTGTTCGTTTTGTTTTTTTCCGCGATGTGCATGGTTAGGAGTGGTAGTGTTGTTTGGGACGTGCAGATAGCATCATATAATCATATCCTTAGGTAGCATCAATCATGCAGCTCTTGGCTGGTGTGGTGCGCTGATTGCATGGGATGTGCTTGGTTAGTGGCAAGTGATCAATGGGACAGGTGATCAGTGGGTGACCAATGAAGATGATCGGAATGGATTTGGAATCAACATCAATCCAAAATTGGACAAAGAACCCTTCAGAGAAACTCTTTAAAGACTTGTGTGGTCTTCTTTTTAGACAGGTGGTCAATGAAGTGTTTGGGACGCTGAATTCCTGAGACTGAGTTGCTTATGCATGCTAAGAAAAATACCACCCAAACAGCTTAACAGCATGTTTATGCATCAGCTTGGCGACCCCATGTGCACCAGCTCGGGGACATGAGAGCTGTTTGACCTGGGAAAGTGAGGCGCCCAGGTTCGGGCGATGTTTGGAAGTATGTGGATCTCTAGAGGTGATCCAGGTGTGTGAAGCTGTGAATTTATACAACGTGAAGAGCATGGTGAGAAGAAAGAGACAGAGTAGGAGCGAGGACAACCGCTTCTTTCATTCAGTGGCCTCACAGTTCGGAGGAGAGGAGTGAAGATGCATGAATTGCTAGACATGGGGATATCAAGAATACAAGTCAGGATCATGCTCATGTGTTTACCCATCTGGACAGTCTTATATAACGTACAATATAACTAGTTCAAAGAAAAAACCAGTCGATAGCAGAAAAAAAGTAAATCTGATGAATCTTCATGAATCTTCCAACCGTTGTCCGCGGAGCCTGGAACTTCCTGCCGACCGCGGTCCTTTTGGGCTCAGTGACAGTTTTGCCTTACGGGCGGCCACAAGACTCGGGCCGTGGGGGCCCTCAGCGAAGAAGGATGGACCTCCCCATCGAACATGTGGTCCCCAAAGAGAAACACCGGTAAAAGTGTCTACACTTTTACGGATTTACCTTTGTATCTAATTAATTATGGGTTCAGTTTACTGGTTTGTAGAGGAAACATGGGATTTTGCATCCCACACGCTCAGATTTTCTGGTGTTACTGGCAGAGGGTGGGTATGAACTACACCATGGTGACCAATCGAGACATGCGGGGCTTGCCAAACCCACCAGGGCCTGTGTTTGAAATTGGTGAGCTGTATTCAAACCAACAAGCTCTTCTGCCGCCAAGAAGTTTCGGTTGGTCACATGCACTTCTGGCCTTTTTCTTACTCTAAATATACCAGAGCCCCTTAGAGGTGTCTATCAATAGCCAGCCCCTTAGACCGAGGTGATTCGGGGCATGTCCATTCACCACCCCAAATTCCCGGGGGTGTGTACATATAGAGAGGGAAGGAGAGAGAGACACAGAGAGGTTCTGTACCAGCAATGGTTTTCAGAAGCCGAACTAGACTATCCGATACTCCAGGTTACGGGTCCAACGGACAGTCACAGAACCGTTGGTTTTTCCAACGAGGGACGACTGAAGGACAAACGGTGTCGTTTTGTCCCGGTCTGTCTCGGTGTACCGTCTCGCTGCAGGCGAGACGGGGAGGAAGACATGCCACCGAGCTGCATTGGTTCTTGGGGGTGTGGGTTCTTGGGGCAGTGAGGTTCTTTTCTTGTTAGTGATGGATGTGGTTTATGTGTGTTTCATTTTGGTCATGTCGGTGTTTTCTGGCCAAATCAGAGTCAAGTTGTTGGGACCCTTTTTTTCGACACCGTGCTTTCCACTCGTGCCAACTTGATGGGTTGTCTCACCCGTGTCGGGCCGTGTCGGGGTGTTTTAAATCACTGCATGTTGGGATACCTCGTTGTAACCGGCCTCATGCCGGACCGGCCTCACCGGTACCGGAAATGCGGCGCGGTTTCGCCTGAGGAGCCGGCCGGAGATCGCCAAGCTCCTAAGGTTGGGGCGAATGACTGGGGCGAGACATACTGGTACCATGGAATGGGTCTGACTGTCACATACGAACTCATCAGCCAGACGAACTCATCACATGGTTAATAACGAAGAGTAGAATTCTTCCTGATCTTATAAAGAGTCGTCGTCCGATGGCAGGGTCCGGCGCCATCCACTTCCATGTTGATGTGTTCGGCAGAGTGGACGAAAGGAATGAGGGTGGTTGGATCCAAAGGAACCTCCATGGCCCTCATGGCCCTCATTCCCTACTTGTTTTCTATTTGTGTCGAAGGACTCTGCGCGTTGAAGACTTCAAAGACCTCAGTAATTAGGTGTTTAGACACAAGACACAAACACATGCAGGCTTTTGGAGAATCTGTTCGCACAACTTCCATTTGATAAGCTCAATAGTTGATGGAGGTGATGATTTGCTTCGCCAGCCTGGTTGAAGAAGGGAGAGTAGGCACAGCCTTGGCAGATAAAGGTCGGGGGTAAACATCATGAAGCTCTGAGGAGACTGATCCCTTGTGGTAGGGGCTCCTGGCCTTACTGCTAGCAACAAGAAGCTACTAACATTGTATGTTGATGTATTATGTTGTTTGCAGCAGGATCCATCCTCAAGAGTCATTGGTTTCAAGAGTCTCTTCACCTCCTGGACAGCCTGCAGGCCCTGCAGGTAGGTCGTTTCCAAATGGTTCCTGGAGGTACATCATGCTTACACCTTCAGACAGTTGGGGGCGTGCCTACTGGAGCCGATCCACACAACTTGAGTGCTCACCTGCAGATCTCACATGATCGAAACACCATCCGAAACGTCACGGACAGAGATGAGTTTTGAAATGCATTCCTGGTTCAGGTTCGTCCAAGCTCCAAAGTCGCGGGATGTCCTAAGCACCAGCCCGGTTGCAGGGGCGGCGGCCGATACAAGCACGACATTATCCCAGATTTGGAGAAGCACTTGGAGGACGCGGAGCGGAGCGAAAAAGGGAAAAGGTGGAAGCTCCAGAGGAGCGTCATCTCTTGAGCAGAAGCTCTTGATGGTGTAGGGAGAAAAGCCCTGAGGCTGCGTCAAGGGAATGAGGCCATCTCACAAATCTCTAGTCTCTTCGGCTGGCTTGAGGGGACGGTGATGTTGCAAGCTGAAATCACTTGAATCTTGAAACATCTTGAAACCAACTTATTCCATAGATGCCCCCTTTCAAGGTGCTCTATTTTTTCACGAAGCTGCAATGTTGACATGATGTTGTGCTTACGGTTCCTCAGTGACTCAGGGGTTTGTCCCTTAGCTATATCTGTAGGGCTTGGCCCTTTCCGCCTCAGGTGGGGTGGTTAGACCTGCCCACCTACCAGTTGGATCTAGGTATGTGATTATGTTAAATATTGACAGGTTGAAAACCCATGACCCTTCTCCAAGTCAACATGTTTTTTTTGCGCGGATGAACATGGATGGAACACCGACGAAAGCTGGGCCTCTGAAGACGCTGACATGGAGATAAACCCCTTTCAACGTGGCACCTGAGATGTTTTCATTTGTTTCTTGGGTTAGTGCATGAGAGGTTCACCGTCATCAAGCACTTGAAGAGTACAGCAAGATGATCCATCGCAGGTGATGCATCCTGTCCTCAAGAATGCTCCCGTTTTTGTTTCATCCGGGACAGGACTTATTCTGAGTCAACACCGGTGGAGGGTACATGGTAAGATGACTACTGACTACTGTATAGACTTGCTTCCGTGGAAGGAAAGCAACCTGTTCCGCTGCTTTTTTTGCCCGTCGCTTGATTGCGGTAGAGGAGATCAATAGCCTCTTCGTGCATGGGGATTCACCTTGGCCATTCGAACACGACCCACCATGCTGGGAGAGTGAGATGATCATTCGATTTCCACATGGTTTTCACCAGCCTTGTGAGGGTTTGTCGGATCCAGGATCAGCTGGAGCAAGACTTCTTCGACCCTGAGGCCAACTTGGCACTCCTGAAGTCTCCTGCCCAGACAGTCTCCACGCGCGGTGTGTGTTTTTTTGGGGGGGTCCTGCGGGCGGGTGGACCAGCGGGTGTTTGAGAAACAGCCGGATCCTACGCAGTCAGTGCATAACTCGTTTCACCATTTTTGGGGGGAGAAGGATTTCAGCAGATAGAGAGTTCGCTTCACTTTTTCAAGGTCAGAGATCGTCTCCTGCTTCGGCCACTGCCAAAAAATGGGTCAAATCCATTGTGGATGATGCAATCTGGAATCGCTCGTGTATCCTGTTTGCCCATAGGGTCCCCTTTTTTGGGATTGACCGAACTTCAGCTCCTTTCACAAGCAGAGCAGAAGTCCGTATCCGAGCGAGGCTGTATCTCCTCCATCCTGAGAAGACCAGCATCCCCGCGATCGAGGGGATCTTGCTGAAGGCGAGTCCAGTGAAGGGACAGAGGGTATTAGAGGGTCTTTTCTGGTCAAGGCGAGGCTGCTTCGTAGAAGCCTCTCAAGCAATCAACTTTTTGTAGAGATTCTTTGCTGAAGCCCTTTGTCAAAGTGACACATTGACATTTGGTTCTTAAGGTGTTAGTGAATTGTAGACCGAAGGCCGAAAGAATCTGACCCGCAAAATAATGATTAAGAGTTTTTCAGTTGTTGGCTGCAGGACCATGCAAGGTTGTTTGTTGTTGAAACCTGGAAGGTGGCAGATGTACAGCAACGGACTGGGCACTGCATGCTGTTGGCTAGAAGAGATAAGAAGAACAAGTTGAGTTTTTCATGAAATTCATGAAATTAGGTTTTCTTGAGTGCCTATCGAAGGGTTCGAATCTGGGTGCGGTGCTCCAACGTCTGGCCTTTCCATGGGCTTCTGTCCATTTCACCGCGTGCAGGCGTTGATGGCCTATCCAGCGACGCACTTCT